TGACAGAGGAATAGCAAAGAATGGGACGAGCTGCATGTGGCTTCTGATACCATTTTGGGAATAACAATGTTTTGTTTCTGAGAAGAATATACACGAACATGCGATACTGTGTCAAAATTGTTGCCGAATGCAAGGAATATGTGTTGTTGGAGGTTGTAGCAATACAGGACACGCAGGATAGAGTATTCCTCTTCATTCAATACCTCTATCCCAATGAAACTTGACCAGAAACGACAAAAAGACCAGAGAAGTGGGCTGATCTGTGCAAAGCCAAGGCGGGCTAAAGCTGGGGAGGCATCGAGGATTTCTTCGATCTTGGGTTCACCGCTACTGTAAAAACCTAGAGATTTTCATGGCCTGTATATTCTTCTCTATCTTTAGTGGAAAGCTTGACATTATACGTCATAAGACACGAATTTGGGATAAGCTGGAAGCCATCTGACTATTCCGAGTGCAAACGATCCTCCGAGTCCCAGTCGAAACTATAGGTGAGGAAATTACACGGTAAATTGAACGCATCACGTCTTTTGTACTCAAAATAGAGACTTTTCTAAATGAATAGTAAACGAAACCTACATCCTACAATAAAGTGATTAAGATTGTTGAGGCTTCGAACTGGTGAACTAGCTATGTATTTGTGGATTTTAATAAAAACACACACTCGCTGGAGGTCGTAATCTGGCGGTGTTTCTCAATGGCCATTCCAAATACAGAATTGTTTCGTTCTTTGAGTTTCGTCTTTGAGGAATGAAATATATCTAAATTACAAACTTAGAATGGATCAACCATCTAGACGTAAATAAGGAAAGTGAAACAAGTGATTAAGATTCGACTCTAGAGCTACTGATGGAGATTTTCATACTGAAAGAGGAGTGCACCTGTCACTCAAACCGAAACTCAAACTAATAAGTCGAGAACTCCTAGGTTATTAGCGTAAGTAAAATGGACATTTCATTCAAAGTAACAGTGAAGTAGAAATGTATTCATTTAACTGATACTATACTGAACTTCTTTTCAATACCTTGTCAGAGGATTTTCAATGATTTGCTAGTACAAAATATGCAAATTTGTGTAGCTTCTGTTTTTTACACAGTAATTGACTATGCATATACTATCAGTGGTCAGTCGATAATAACAAAGCAGAAAGTTATCTCACTTTTAGATATTGTTCGGCGACATCTCTGCTTATCTCTTTTGTTAAAACTATTTTCAATCATTGATCTGGAGAAGTAGGCAGGAGTAGAATACGACTGCATCGCATTTTAACTTGTATTTCAGGGGAAAAGATTGTTTGAATCTAAAATGTTTTGACACTCCGAAATCTGCATGTTCCCTATAAAGTCAAATTACGAACTCTCTGTGTTTATTGACATCTTTATCACTCTTTAAGAACTGTAAGTTAACTCTTCAGCCATTATTTGTACCTTTATAACCCAAACGGACCAGCAAATTGTCGATCCTAATCCTGGCCTAAATTACAATGCGGCGATCTCCTCTGGCGACCTGCACTTCGAAATGGAAAAAAAAAAAATACACAAAATGTATATATATACATCACAGCCGTCCAAATCTTAGCTAGACTCCAAATTGTAATGCTAGACGATACACTTCTTTTGCTTAACAATCTTGTCCAGTTTTGATAAAATATGAATCACAAATAACCCAAAAATGTCTTGACAGCCCCCAAAGCTCAGTTAAAAGTCTCTTTGATTGTTTTAGCCAGGTTCCCGAAGTGACATCACCAGTTGCCAGACCCAGATCCCACCTTGCACAGAGAACATAGAAATTACATGTTCAAACACCTGTAGAAACGCAGGGATTTTATCAATCGAGATAATTTTTCGCTGAAGTAATCAGGGAAACTAGTAGATTTTATTA